GGGAGAGAGGGAGGGGGAGGGAGGAGAGAGAGATGGATAGAGAAAAGAGGTGGAGAGGGGAAGGAAAGAGAGAGGGAGAGACAGGGGGAGGTAGGTTGATATAGAAGGAGGAGGAGGAGAAAGATGAGTAAGAGAGAGGGAAGAGAGAGAGAGGAGATTACCTATTTGGGAGAGATGGAGAGAGGACGAGAGAAAGATAAATAAACAGACAAACAGGCAGACACACACAGACAAGAAAAGGGAGAGAGAGACAATGAAAGAGGGGGAGAGAGAGAGAGGGAGAGACAAAAAGTGAGAGAGGGGGAGAGAGACAGATAGACAGACAGAGAGAACAAAGTAGATAAAGAGGATCAGAAACATAGACAGCGAAGGAAAATGAGAGAACCAAACAGAGTGAAATAGACAGACAGATAGATACAGACATATACTTCAGCCATACAGTAAGGACAACGACATAAAAATCTTAAAAAAATATTTCAAACTCACAAATGTCTTCAGTTTGTCTTCCGAAATAACATTGCGCAGTGGCCGGGGGGGGGGGCACAGGGGAGCAGGGGGGAAGGGGAAGGAAAGGAAGGGAAAAAGAACAGAAATAGATAATAATAAATGCCAGAATATCCGCTTTTGTGGCGTACGGAAGAAAGCCATTTTGTCGATATTAAATTCCTTCTGCCAAGTGAGAAGAGGGTTTTGTGCGCCTTTGCTCAATCGTTTATTTGTGGATTCGAATCTTTTGTCGGCGAGTCTCTTTTTTTCTTTTCTTTTCTTTTCCTTGTTTTTATTTTGGCTGTCTTTCTTTCTTTCTTTCTGTTGCCGATTTTGTTTTTCTTTTTCTCTTTTCATATTTTTATTACTTTAATGGTTTACTTTTCCTTTTGGATGTCTTTCTTTTTTTCGTTTATTTGTGGATCCCAACCCTTTGTCGCCGATTCTCTTCTTATATTTATTTATTTATTTATTTATTTGATTCTTTCTTTTCCTTTTGGCTTTTTGGGTTAATGTGTGGAATCGAACCTTTGTCGCCAATTCTTTTTCATTTCTTTTCCTTTTCTTTTCTCTTAGATTTCTTTTCCCCTTTTTTTCTTCTTTTTTTTTTAATATGTGGATTCCAACCTTTTGTCGCCGATTCTCATTTTTTTTCTTCTTCTTCTTCTTCTTACCACCGCCAAGGAGGTTATGTTTTGGTTAGCGTCGGTTAGTTTGTTTGTTCGTTAGTTAGCAGGATAACACAAAAAAATAGGAATTTTTTATCAGAAGTGTCTAAGCCCAACTTAGAATCCAAAGGAAGCAACTGTCGGACTTTTGCAATTAGTACTTAAAGGAAAAGAAAAACTAAAAGAAAGAAAGAGGAAAAAAAGAGAGAGAATCGGCGACAAAATGTTCGACTCCACAAATAAACAAAAAAAAAGAAACATCCAAAAAGGAAAAAGAAAGCCATAAAAGAAATAAACAGGAAGGGAACACAACATGAATTAATCACCGTGATGGCCGAGTGGTTAGAGCACCGGCGTCCGAGTCTGGTGGTCCCGAGTTCGAGTCCCGTCGCGGTAGTGAGTCCCGCCCCGAATCCGAAGTGACGTTGAGGGAGAATGCTGTCCTGTCGCAGGGCAATCACGACCTTAGTAGCGAGGCGGGGCAACAAAGACACAAAATCAAATTTATGATTTTTAAGCGTTTTCGGGTCTTGGAAGTTGGAGAATATGATTGATTTTTTATTGAAACAAATCTAATAGTGAAGTAAAATCAGATGAAATAAAATTAGATAAATTTGTATTTTAGAGCATGAGAATTAAAATCATTATCTCCGCCATGAAGGTTGCTTTTGGTAACATTAGTTTGTTTGTTCGTTGGTTAGCTAGATAACTCGAAGAGTTATGAACAGATTTCTTTATGAAATCTTTTACCAGAGGTGCGTCTTAGCCAAACTTAGATGCCATTAAATTTTGGTGTGATTCAGAATTTTTTGGCATTGCGAGATAGGGGCAACTAACACTTTTTTGGCGTTTGAATTATTATTATTGTTATTATTATTATAATCATTATTACTATTGTCATTACTATTTTTTAAATGTAATTCTTCAAGTGTAAATATTTTTATTGCATCAGTGACCCTATAGCCTTAACGGAGATTGTCTTTCATTTTTTTTTTTTTTGTTTACTTGCATCCGAAGCTTGCTATTTATTATTATTGTTATTATCATTATCATTATCATTTTTATATTCTATTTTTCGTGTTTCTTCTCCCCTGGTCTTGCTGTGTGCATTTTGTTTTAAAATCTTACTGCGAATTTTATTTTGGTTTTAAATTTTTTTTATGACATTGTAATAGTTCTAAATATTGTTTTATGCAGTCCTTCCTGACGTAAATATGTGGTCCTTCATTATTTTTTGTTTTGGGGATTTTATACGTGCAAATATAAAGCGTGTATTTGTTTGCTTGTTTTGACCATGTTATTAATCTTCTCATAGTGTCTTCCTTGCTCTTGCGAAGACATAAACA